CCCCCTTATTTATACCAACCTTCCGCATTGCGTAACAAAACTCTAACAGAAAGTAAAGATAATGGTCTACTCAAAATACCCCCATTCCCTGCACCATATTACTAACTCTTATTGACTACCACATTATTCAGGGTATAACACCTTGGTTTATGTTTTCTTGTACCTACTTCTGCCTGTCTGTTTTGTTTGTTGTTGCTTACTTCTAACTCATTTCCAAATTTTAGCACCGTCTCTCGTAGTTCTTTTTATGTTCTCTCTGAAAAAAAGTTGAGCAAGCTTTACCTTCTCTTTTTGCACATTTTGCACAAGTTGGGGGTCTTCATGGAAGCAACCGTTCTACTCTTCGAGGTAGAGGTTAGGTTTGCATACATCCCACCCAAACCCCACCTCTGGGTGGGACTTACTGGGTTTGTTTGGTTTATTTTGCAGTACCGATATCCTCATGAGTTGCAGTATTTTTGTTGTTTGGTTGTTTCAATAATACTGAAAGTTTCTCGTCAGCAGTCTCGTTTATATCTTGGGCTTGGAAGGGATGGCTTGCTACCCGCAATATTTGCTCGTGTTCATCCAACACGCCACACTCCTATTCAGTCTCAGATATGGGTTGGATTTATCGCATGCATCTTGGCTGGGACATTAAATGTGCACTTGCTGTCACATGTTCTGTCAGTTGGTTCATTGGTACGTCGTGTTGGTTCAGAATGCCTCTCAATATAACCATGAAACTTGGAATATTTGCATTTTCTTTAATTTATGCAAAAGCTGGAAGAAGCTTGTGCCTTCATTTTTAATTACAAGGCTATGTTTGGCAAACTAGCAGATAAGCTAGCGGTTAGCTAATTAACTAGTTGTAAGCTGAAAAGCTAGATGCTGGCTAACTGGTGATAAGCTAATTAATAAACTAGTTATGTTTGGTTAAAACTAACGGATAAGCTAGATTACAATGTAAAAGGAGACGTTGAAAATTTAATTGGAATAATATAAGCTGCATATTTGGGGGAAAACGGAAAAAATAGAAAAAAACCATGGAGCTTATTGAAACGGTACTTGAAGTAGCTTTTCAAAAAAAAAAAAAAAACTAGCTATGGCTAGCCAAATGGGACTTTTTAGAAAAGCTCAAAAATAAGCTAGCTTATGGTTGCCAAACATGGCGTAAATGTTCTGAAATCCATAGTATCTCATTCATCTAGGGGAAGTGATCAACTGAAACATTTTGTTTGCTGCAGGCAGGTTATTCCGTTGTGGCAGCATGTGTGATAACTCTTCGCTGGAAGGATAATGTCGGTAGTCAAGTCTTAGCCACCTCGATGTCACATAGGCTGGAAGGCATAATATGCATTACCGTGATTGCTTGTTGTGGTTTTGCTGCTGGAATCCTTTTCCGTTATGTTGTTTCAGCTCTTGCCTATTTATTTCTTATTGTACCTGTGGCTATTGCAATCCTTGCTGCTGCAGCTCTTCGATTTCGACAGGTAAGTGAAATTGATTCTCTATATGAATGCTACAATTCAAATTACTCACTTCTACAATATCCATTCTCTATTTGCTTACTTATACCCAGCTTCTCAAAATTTAAGCTTACCTGCTTCTCTTTTTCACACACTTTTCATATGCTGGGGGTCTTAGGGAAACAACTGCTCTACTTTTCATGGTAGAGGTCAGGTCTATGTACATCTTACCCTCCCCAGACCTCACCTCCGGGTGTGATATATTGGGCTTGTTTGATTTAGTTTGGTTTACAATAGTGATTCTGAAGAAGGCGGTCTATCAAATGACAAACTCTTAGGGGGGCCGTTTGGTTTGATGGAATGGTTTGGAGGGACTTGGATTTCGTGGAAGGATTTGGAATTGGAGGGATTTAGATTTGCAAGGATTTGGAATATTTGATGTGTTTGGTTTTTAGGATTTGGAATGTAATTGAATTCCGTTCTTTATATATCATTTGTAAAAAGAAATTGTAGAAATAAGTAAAGTACCTTATTATTATTTGTAATTGATTATTGGAAAACAAATGATTTTAACATATTTTAGAACATTATTATATACAAATCCCTTGAAATCCCAACCACCCCCATGGGATTTCAAAATCCTATGTTCGAGGGATTTCAATGAAATCACGGGATTTCAGATCTAGCAAATCCTACAAACAGAACACGGAATTGGTTTGTAGGATTAGATTGGATTTGGAGGGATTTAGAATTGAATTTCATTCCAATTCCATGTTTGGTTTGAAGCAATTCTTGGACTTGAAATCCCACAAATATAGGATTTTGAAATCCCACGGGAGTCGTTGGTATTTCACGGGATTCTGTAAGGATTTGTATGTAATATTGTTTTAAAATATGTTAAAAACATTTGTTTGTAATAATCATTTAATAAAAAGATACTTTAATTATTTTTATGATTATTCATAATTTGTTTTTATAAATTAATCCTACAAATCATACACACCAAAGATTCCAAATTATTATGAATCCAAATCCCTCCAATTCCAAATCTTTCCACAAATCCAAACCCCTCAATCATTCCATCAAACCAAACGTCCTCTTAGTCTCTTACGTAGAGGACTGGCATGGGCCTCTTAACTCATTAGTTGCTATCGTTTACACAATTTACTCCGTTCTCTTTTTCTAGGTCCCATCTCAATTTCCCCTGGAAAGAAAATAAACCAAACCAAACGACCCAATAAATCCCACACAAAGGTAGGGTCCGGTGAAGGTAAGACGTACGCAGATCCTACCTCTACTCCATGGGGTAGAGAGGTGGTTCCCGTGGAGACCCTTGGCTTGCAGAACAAATAGGTAAAACAAGCGAGTAAGAAATAGGTGAGAGTACGCACACAAAAAAATAAACAATGCAGTAAGGTAGAGGTAGGAAATAGAAATAAGTTGCATAAAGAAGGGGAAGGGAGCACAAAGCACACACTACATTTTCTTATGAGACCCACAATCACGTTTTGTTTTCTAACACCACATAACACAAGAGTGGCCACATTGATTATTATATGGCTTGTGCGAACACCTAAAACGTGGTCTCTCTTCCGATAGAGGTCAATGCCATAATCAGGGCCCTAAAGTTGGAATCAACTTTAGTAGAGTTGAGAGTTGTGTAGATGAACTCCTCTAAAATCTCTTTTCAGTACCAATTGTGAATGGAAAACTGAAACTAGAAAAAAGTTGAAAGCATAGAAGTTCTCTTGGCATCTAGATGTCCCGATATGTTCATTTGCATGAAAACACCATTGGTATGTATATAGTTGCATCATGCATGTGCGTTCATCTATGATCATAGATAGGGGCATTCCAATTTTTTTGGGGGCCTAGTTACACCTGTACTTGTTACCAAGACTATAGACCGACTTGGGTTCAAATCCAGGCACTGCCAAAGCCCTTGTTGCTGTAACGTTCACATGCAATTCCTCCAAGCCACTCTTGGTCGCTCAGGGGATTAGCCGGTGTGTGTAAGCTGGCCTAGATACCCATGGTTACACAAAGAAGAGACTATAGATCGACTCGACGAGTAATAAATAAAACAAAATATAAAAGTTTATACCATATATAATAGGGTAAGTTGTTTGATTGGTTTCTTCGCCCTGGCCCCCTCTTTTGGTTGTAGTTGTCTCTTTCATCCACATTTTTTTATTACATTTTGTAGGTACATACAGATCTACCAGGTTTCTCTTGCCCATGGGTTCCAATGGTGCCTGCTCTTTGCATCTTTGTTAACATATTCTTGTTTGCTCAGGTTTGCTTTCTGAACCCTTACGATTAATTGTTTAGTAAACCAGACCAAACAAAAACAAACTCAACATATCTCACTCGTAAGTAGAGTCTGTGGGGGGGGGGATGTATGTAAACTTGACCTCTACCCTGTTGGTTGGAGCGCTTCACAACCAATTGTCTAGTAATTATATGTTACAACAATTAGTTTGTCTGCACATCTTGAAGTGCTTTCTCTTGTTGCAAATAGTAATCATTCTTTGAAAATTATGAATGAATTTTAATAAATAATAAAACTATAAATTATATACGTATGTTTATAAACACAGTTTAAACATAATGTATGAATATTTTATATATAAATTATCTAATATTTAGTTGATATATGTCATTTTATGACTATTATATGATTAAAAAAAGACCCTTAAACATCATTTGAGGGGCAATGTGGTCATTTTTAACATTTTTGTCCTCTCTTGTCCAACAACCTAGCATTATACAGAAAACTTGTTTAGTCATGTCTTGGGGCTTGTTTGTTAGCAGCTTAATGAGCTTAATGGGACTCGCAGCTTATTCAGTCAACTATACATGACCATTTGGTAGTGGCTTAATGATATAGAAAGTGGCTTAATGATATAGAAAGTGGCTTATTTAGTAAGCTTTTAAGGGGAAGTTTTATGTAGAAAGTCAACTTTTTTACAAACATGTTCTTCTCAATTAAAAAACATGCTCATTCCATCTATGAAGAAAACCTCCCAAACAAAAATCTTGTCAATTTATACACACAGAATAATTTACACAGTTTTATCCATACAACACTTGATGAAAAACCAGCTAAACAGCCCCTTAGTCGTAACAAATATCATACTGACAACTAGTCATGTGAAGTTCAGTCCATGAAACTAAGCGTCGTCCTATGACTCCTATCTATAGTTGCATAATGCTTGATCTGATTTTAACTTCCATCCGCAGCTTCACTATGAAGCCTGGGTGAGATTTGTCGTCCTCAGCATTGTTGCGATCGGTGTATACGCATTCTATGGGCAATATCATTCAAATACTGTAAGTGATCATGAGGTCGTAACTTACCACAAAGCACCCGAAGAAGAAGCTCTATGAAAGATCTTGTCTACGGTGTATATAGATGATGCATATTGTACCCGTTAGTATATCCATGGCATGTAAAATTTCGAATATCACCCTCTAGGTTAAAAGGATGGGTCGGTAAGTTGTGTAAGTTCGCAAGTTATTTATCTGTAATTTGTTAGTTTCTCGTGGTTAAAATTGTTGAATGGTGACTCTGTGCACGGAGCCATTATCGAATAGGTGATCAACTGTGGTGAGCGCACTTGCTTTGCTCTCCTTTCAGTTGATTCGGTTCGTGTTCAGTGTGCCCTTCGCCCTCAGCTAGTTGCCTTCTTAGCGATGATTGGAAAGGAGTTCTCCTACAAAGTCCTTTTATAACCAAACGGTCATTTGCTTAGTAGTACCTGAATTTTCCACTAGGACCCAGCCTCCCAGGATGTCAAGGGTTCATATCTCACCAAAGATGAGAACTATGTGTGAAATTTTGTCGTATATAAATAATATATCCCTAAATAATGTCCTTTTGTATTATGTAAAGATGCAATTTCAATGACTTAGTATATGCCACCTTCTAGAGTACCCTCATTATACTGGTCTCACAGACATGATAAGAGAGGAAAATTGTGGCACCTAGAGGAAAACGGGTAATACTCTAATTTGAACCCGAGAGCTCAGTTATGGAGTTTCCACTCTGATTTGAGCCCGAGACCTCATTTATGGATCTTTCACCTCTTACCACTAAGGACAATTCACTGGGGATAGAAAGGTTCATCATGTGATAGTCATTCGTGAATTTGAATAGTACATGTTCAAGACGTAGCGTCTTAACACTATGTTCCTCAGACATTTTTTTACGAAGGAAAGAAAATATGGAAAATGGAGAAATAAAAGAAGACATATTTTAAGCGAAAAAGAAACTAAATGACAACTGTCTTAAGGAACTTTCCTTCCAAAAGGTCGGAGGAAAGCGAATGAAAGAAATAATAACCCTTTTTTTCTTACTTCGTTCATATGTTCTCTCTATCTCGAGAATATAAATAAAAGAAAACACAGTTTGAAAAAATATATAATTGTTGATTAATTGAATGACAATTTTACTGTTAATAATCAACACATTTTTTAATGATAATTGCGTCTCTATCAATATTAGGGATCATATACACGATCACTGAGGGATTGTGATCGGCACCAGGGTGCAGTTTGTATATTCACCCGAGGGGGACGATGAAGACCAGAGAGTGAATAGAGAGAAAACGGTGAGAAAATTATTTACTAATAGGTGGGTAAAAGACGAATTTACATTCATATGAGAGGCACATTCCTCTATTAAACGGAACTTCGTTAACGTTATTAAATCGAGGGACCATGAATGCAAAGAAAATAAAAAGCTAAGGATCTTTAATGAAAATATTCGGTTTGAGTGACCAAATCCAAACTATAAATCATATTTTATAATTTTGCTAATATAATCATTAATTTGGTATTGATGAAATTACCATCTATAAAAAAATTTGTTTGAAAATTTATTTGGATTTAAAATATATTAATTATTTTAATAATATAATTAATGCCAGATACTCTAAAATAAAAAAAGAAGAAAAAATTAACTACTATTTTTTATATTGACTTTTCTTTCTCTAAATTTGGGAAAATTTTCAAGACGCGTACATATTAAATTGTATTTTTTAATTCTGTAAATATACAGTAATTATCATCAAACAGTCCTCTATATAACTGTATATGACATGAGACACAAAAGTATCATTATAAACCATGAGTTTCCCAAGAAAATGTTATTTTCTTTTTTATTTTCTGTTACATCTTTCAATCTTTGTATATGGTTCTGATACTGCTTCGAAAATCACAACACCGCCTACGAGCAAATGGCTTGAACCATATAGAATTTATATCACTAATAAAGTTGATACACATGTCTTTTATAATTGCAACCACAATGGTCTGCCAGCAATACTCGCAACTAACGATGTAGCTACTTGGAAATTTCGTAAGAATTTCTTGGGAAATAACAAGTATGACTGTTGGTTTCGAATGGTTACAAGTGGCGCAGATGATTTGAAGAAGCAATCATTCGATATTTTCGACAGAGAAATCGGTAAGATGTGTGGTTCAAATTTATTTCATATGAATAGATGTTATTGGTTGATTACTAATGATGGATTCTATTTTTCTAAACAAAATGTAACGACTCCTGATGATAGTTGTACTTTAATGTATCAGTGGTATGTTTGATGATTTTCAATTATTGTAATTGTTTTACTCAGTAAAAGAAATAAAATTTAGTGATATTTCTTTACTTTCTAACGTTATCTCCTACAAATGCGTCAAAGTTTGCACTGTACAGATTTTTTGCACCGGATCTTTTCCAAAGAATGCGCTATTTTAGTGCTATGAATAGTAAAACAACACTATTTCCCAACACCAGTTTCTTGTAAATAGTGTTAATTTACAAAATGGTTATTCAATTGCAAACATATAAATATTAACCTGGATATCCAACCCGCTATGCGAACCGACTAATCTCAGGACGACCACCTGCTTTGTGGGTTAGCCCAGAGTCACCCATTTGAACCTTCATGGCCACAAGAGGTTTTTTATTTCTCATTGGATTTGAACATGGGACTTCCAGACACTTTTGACCTTTGGAACACAAGCTCAAACCAATCAGGCATCACTCTTGTGGTTCAAAATGATACTTAAATAACACTAACTAGTAATCTCATAATTTGGTAAACCGGATCCAGATACTACAAGATTAGATTGTGTTAAATGACCATTTATCAAAAAATTATGTTAATTCTACTTAAATAAGTATGTATTTTATTTTTATGTGCCGAAAACGTATCTTTTTATATACTGAATTTTGCAACCCAGATGAGCATTTAACTGAAAAGAGAAGTATGAGACAACGAAGATCTGTGATTCAACATGTGAAAAAAATAAGTGCAGATTAAGGCACTGATACATAGACTAAAATTTTGTTTGTCAATATCGTATGGTCTAATTGATATAGATATCTTATTCGAGTTAGGAGGTAAGAGTTTAATCTTAAGATGATATTTATGATATATTGAAGTATTCAAAATTTTGGAATGTTTAAATGGTATCAGAGTCGATCCTTGTACCATCAAGATGGTGGAGAGAACCTCATCATGATGAGTCCTCAAGGGGGTGTTTGTAACATCTTAGACAAATTTCACATCACCGATTACAGAGAGGATTTAAAGGTTTGACAAGGATGTTAGAAATTTAAGCGAGACTGTTTTAACAAACCATCCCATATGGATAAAACAGTAGATTTGTGACCTTATAATCTTAAAAATCTGGACTACCGGGAACTTTCACCATTGTCGATTTCAATAATAATGTTTGAAAGGGTTTTTACGAAAGGAGCATGTTTGAAAAAATACTTGACTTGCTGCATAAAACTCCCCCTAGAAGCTTACTGGATAAGCTATTTTTTATATCATCAAGCACTACTTAACAGTCACGTATATAGCTGACTGAATAAGCTGAGAATCCTATTGAACTTGTTAAGTTGCTAACAAACACGCCAGACGGAGTAATATAATCTCTACTAACGTATCAAATGGATACAAATAACTTTTCACATTTTCAAGAAAGTTATAGTAAAAATTTCTCGGCTGAACAGACCGTATGTCGCTATAGATCTAAAACAACATCTAGTCACTCTACAAACTCAAATGGAGACGTTGTCGTTCAGGACAAACATCGAGATGTACAAGTAATAGTGTTTTCGTGGTACAAAAATCTTTGCGACTTAATCGCAAACGACATCGGAGTAGAATGCAATTGTTCTCCTTGTGCAGTCTTTAACACCAAGCAATTCCACATCAAAAACTTCAAACTGTTTTGAACTAAAGAATGTAGAAGGCCCAACCTACAAACACAACACAATTTTGACTTTTTTTTAGAGTCAAACCTAATGCTTCTCAAATTTAAGCTCTTCTATTGTACTACATGATGTATGATGTCCTATAATCACAAATTTGATCTGGATACTGAAAGCATCTCCAACAGCTATGATAAAGTAGAGATTATGTAGATCTATGAGTTTTTTTTGCTCCAAAAACTATGATACTATAATGTATGCAAAAATACAGAAAAGAAGAGAAAGATGGTGGAGACATTGAACTTAAATGTTTAAAAGAAAGAAATAATATTTTATTAAATGTATTGAATATTTTAATAAGTAATTAATGTTGGAATCTCTAAAATAGAGTAGCTATTGGAGTTGGATGTAATTTTTTTAGAGATTTTGAGTTTTGATACTCTGTTTTAGAAAAATTACAGAGTATCTGTTGGAGACGCTCAAAAAATATCATCGGATTCCTGAGAAGACGCAAAATGTTATTGCTATGATTTTTGGAAGTTGCTCCAGATATAGAGAATGCTACATTCTCTATTATCACTTTATCCCTTTTGGAAATGGGTTTGGAGAATCTGTTAGAGCCTAATTTCATCTAAAAATCTTTAAAATCTCTATTTTCTCCGTTATAGCAAATATGTCCAAGATGCTCTAAGAATCAAAGCTCAAAGCAATGGACGGACGGGCTCAATAACCTTCATGTCAACTAAAACCAAATGTTACTTTTTTTTTAGGTAACTGTAGGTATCCGTGCCAGCTTACACGCACCAACTAATCCTCCGACCACAAATGGCCTGGTGACACCTCCATGGCCACAAGGGATTTGGCAGCGCTTGGATCCGAACCAAGGGAAGTGAGATTTCAACTACATCCCCATAACCTTAATTGGTGCACCACAACTCAAGTGGTTACTAAAACCAAGTTATTAATGGTCCATAACGAAGGACTCAAAAGGATTGTCAATTCTAACTTACAAATGATATGGGACGGGATGCTAAAACGATAGTAGCAAATAAATCAGGAAACTCACCGGAGGTCCAAGTTCCGGAGGGATGATAATTCTCCTCTTTCCACCAGGTTTCATGTCTTTTATACCTTCTTCAAATCCTGTGTCAACTCTCTTTGTTACTCGACATGCACCAGAACAATTTTGACCGTAGTAAAAAAATACACCACCCCCTTCCTAAAAAAGAGTCAATGTTGACTTCTAAGTATCAGAGGGGCTGTTTGACGCATCTGAATGGATTTGGAAAGTCATCAAGTAGAAGACTCAATATTTCGATTCTAAATGTAAAATGTCAAATGATGTAACACCCTAGGTCAATCGTACCAGATATTGTCCGCTTTATTAACACCTAGACTCACGGTTTTAAAATGCGTTTTATAGAGGTATCATGTCACTATAAGGCAACCTTTGTTCCCTTCCCAAACTGATGTGGGATCTCACAAATGATTTGTTTTCTTTAACTTCAAAATTGAATTTGAGAAGTTCCACTTCAATACTTTTGAGTTTTGAGAGTGTCAAATGAGTTGTTTTTTGTCCTTTAAAATTGGATTTAAGAAGTAATATGTTAACTTTTGTGTCGATATTTGAAATTTGAGTATTATTTGACTTTCAAGTGTCAAAAGCAAAATCTTTTCTTGGGACGGATGAGTGAAAGTGAAATATGAAACGCTCACCTGGGACCAATGCGTTGGTACCCATTCGTATTTTGGCAGGAGAACCTTGTTGGTAACTGCTATCGATACGACGACCAGATTCATTGTAGCCAATATAGTGAAAAGTCACCTGCAAACAGAACTTCACCGTTATGACCTATGAATGAAGAAAAATGGAAGGTGTTTAAACTAATGATAGATTCCAAAGAAACACCGTTGTGCTACTTGGGACAAAGGATAGGTATGCGTACATCCTACCCCCAAACCCCATCTTTGGATGAGATATTTTGGGTTCGTTTAGTTTGGTTAGATTCCTATGATTAAGCAAAACGAACCGGAAGGTGGAGCTGATCAGGAAGGTAGATGCAAATATTCCTAGATTTGTGGAAATCATTGTAATGACTTTTTTCCATGTTCACTGGTGTTGCTTACTTCAAACTCGCTTTTCTTGTCTCAAATTCTTCTTTTGGAAGGGACATCCCATGTTACGTCCAGACTAATCCCGACAAATTGCAACTGTAAGACATCAGCCCGGATAAACTCAGTGGCCACAATTGTTGTGGACGCCTGGAATCTAACCGAGACAGATGGGATATTCCACCACATCCCCCTGGGCCTCAACCACTACACCACAACCCTTGCAGTTTGAAGTTGCAAGTTTGCAACCAAAATTTTCCTATATGTTCTCTCTTTCCTACGAAAGCTAAAACAATTGATTCTACATGCAAATCAAGCATTCCGGACTATAGCTCAAATGTTCAAATACCATTCCACCACGGAAATATACAGGGAAAGAATTTTCAAAGAACTCCAAGTTTCAAGTTAAAAATAATTGAAGTGGCACAATCTAAAGAAAGCGATGGAGAAGTAGCAGAAAAACCTGCTGACCAGACTTTGGGAAGTCACCGGTACCAACTTCGAAATCGCGGTATATAAGTCCAGAACCGCTCTTTATGTAGTTGTTTGATGCCACAACCTTAACCTCGAATCCTGAATCATAGTCCAGAAGATAACTGTCAACATTGGAAGTTCGTTCAAGTCTTTGGAACTAACAGTCAATGTGTTGGGAAATTTTTCAAAATAGTATAAAAGTTTTATTTATTTTGGGCTGCATCTTAGGAAGAAGAGAAAACCAACACGATCAAGATCTACCGGAATACACGAAAAATGAGAAAAAAAGGACAAACCTTCTCGAACAAAACTTGGGAAATCATCTGGTGCATTGTTCTCTCTCTGTACCCTTTTATTTTGTTCAAGCAGGCGTTTTTCATCATATGGGTTCTTAACTTTTGTTTTCCCACTGGAGGGCAAAGTTGGAAACAAGCCTGATGAGATCAGAAACACAAGGAGTTGTCTCCGCTTTGAATACTCGATATTTCCATTCTGTTCTCTAGCCATGCATGAAATACTTTTCCTAAGAAACTAAACAATGTATTGAAAGAACAGAAAATACATAAGAAATTATTTGAAGTTTTTACCTTTCATCCTTCAAGTCACAATTTGAGCAACAATGGAGAAAATACTTCTTTTGAATGGAAATTCGTCCTAGGGTAGGAAAAGGTGTGATTGATCTATCTGCATATAACATGTTTTAAACAATTAAGTTTGGATAAGGTTCAGGGTTTAGGGTTTAGTCCGGTCCGGTCTCCACCGCAGAGAACATCAAAACATAAGCTTCAAAATGCATGTTTCTTTTCATGCAAACCTCGGTGGAGAACCTTATTAACATGAATATACATATGATAATCATACGCATATATCTCTCTCTAACAAAACAATCTCAAACAATTGGTTATGAAATGATAGTCAAAATACATTTTAAGTTGTAAATCCACATTCTGAGCTAACAACAGCAGCCAGGATCTTATATTCTAAATGACGTTCAAATATACCTTTGCATTCCCGATCTTGCCACCCTCCTCTTCCAAACAATGGGGAACATAAGTAACATAGAAACCATGCGAGTTTTACTAGACCACTGTACACTTTCTGGACCCTATAAATTCTACGAAGCTCGTGCCTAAGTTATATTCTACAATCTTGTTTCAGTTCCCTTTCTTACAACCATATTAGACTTAAAGATGTTACTTATTCCTTTCTGAAGTTAGATCTAACTTTTGACTTTTCAGGGCACACAAAACTGATAGAGTTGAGGACCTAGAGGCAAGGGTGGACCTATGAAGGACCTAGGGGGTCCCGTACACCAGCTCAACCGATTCCCGCAAGTAGAATTTTTCAGAGGTATTAAAGGTGCACACACTAAACTTTGAGGGGTGCTTCACAATATTAGAAAATACAAGGGACATCAACCAAAAAACTTAAAAAATCAACCAAAAAACTTAAAAATTCCCTCGAAATGGTGGTATTCGACTAAAAACACAGCAGGCTTACGCCTAAGTCAAAGTCTTGCGTCTTGCTCAAAAGGTCGATTTCATTTGGGACAATGTATTTTATTCCCCAAAAATCGACACAATTGACTTTCAACAGGTCAAACCACATTGACTTTTCCACAAGGATCAAACCACAACTTTACGGGCCTTTGATCCACCTTAAAGGTGCACATGTTCAGCTAAAATCCTAGGTCCACCACTGCCTAAAGGTAGACAAAGGTGCTATTACATGTTAAATATTATGATACAAATGATAAAAAGGTTAAACTTTCAGAAATTTAATGATGACAAGTATGAATTAAAAAAAAGCATTTGATTGTAATAGTTAAAGCACATCTCTAGTTCAGAAATATAAGTGGTACTCTATAACCTTTGAGTAGGATTATTTCTTCATGACTATGCAAAATCTAGGGTAGCAATATAATAACTCGATTAATGTAGTTCCTATAATAGTTTTTCCGGCTACCATTTCCACACCATACAACTTACTATGTTCGTCCTACTTTAAAATTGATTTGAATATGTTATATGTTACAATAAGTATATTTCTAGTAAATTTAATGCCAAATTGCACCAAAAAGAAACCAACTGATTTTCTAACTATGAAATTGAGATGAACTGTTTGAATTTTTCAAGATAAGTTTGATAACTGCATCAACTTCTATGACAAATTTAGGGCAAATTGACCAAAATGAAATCAACTTTGCTTCCGTTCCTAATCAGGGACCAACTTTCGAAGCTTCTCATTTTTGAGAAGCAAAATGAATCAACTTTGCTTTCATTATTATTTTGGGAACATGAATTTGCAAACTACCTCCCATTAATGAGGTGTTTGAAAGTTGGTTTCCCCAAAACGAAAGGATTTTTAAGTTGATTCCCTCATTCCCATGAGAGGAAAGAAAGCAAAGTTGGTTCATTTTGATCAACTTCCCTAAATTTCATCATAAAAGTTAATGCAGTTATCAAAATTAATCTTGAAAAGTCATACGATTCATCTCAATTTAATAGTTAATAACCAATCTATCTACCAAACAAGCTGAACCAGATCTTGGTTTGTAATGGAGGGAGCATAATCGAAATTTAATATCATTATATCTATAAAAAAAACTTAATTCAAATTGGAAGTCTTTCAGTTCAAATAAAAAACTTAATTTGCTTCAATGCTAATACCACCAAGTCACGTAACCAGAATCCCCAATTCCCAAGCATACCGTTTACATCTCCGATCAAGATTTCTCACACTAACAAAGTAAAGTTTATTCTTCAAGACTGAACAAAGGATTCTATTCAACCAAAACTACACGAATTGAACCGTTTCCACACATAATTTTTTAAAGGGTTCAACCTTAGAAATAAACTTTCTTTCAGACATTTCATCAGTCACTTGGCATACTTCTCGAAGAATTCAAGTTCAGACCATCAATAGCTGAGAGTGTGTGTGTGTGTGTGAGAGAGAGAGAGAGAGAGAGAGAGAGAGAAAGAGAGACTTGCATGGAAATGAGAAGGAAGGCTTGAGTTGAAGAGGTGGAGATGCGGGCATCAGCATACTGTAGAACTTGAACGCTATGGAGAAACACAGGGAGAAGGCGATAAGGCTTTTATTTGGCTCATCCTCAAACCATCAAAAATATTATTTTGGCCACTATATTTTTGTAGTATTTTCATTTTGACCACTAAAGTTTATACTTTCATAAATTCTGGACTACATCTTTTTAAAAAGGGTGAATTCATAAGGCAAAGCTTACATATTTTGATCTCTATGGCTTTATGACTATAGATCATCATTCTCAATAACTTAATAAGTATGGTTAATTATATTTTCTTAACAATATAATTGTTTATTATAATCTGCAAAAAAAAAAAGTAAAAATCAGTAACCAGACTTCATCATAGCATCTCAGATGTAATGATGTTTAAAACTAGGTCTGAACCGAACCTTTAATCAGTTCAATCGGTCATATGCTTTTGTTACAAATATGTTAACTGCTCCTAGACTAGAGTAACCGTTCCTACTCCTGAAATATATAACCAACCGTGTGTTTATACACATATATAATCATCCATATCTTGCTCAATGTCAAGATTTTATCATTGGAATCGTTATCCCCATTTCCTCGCCCTGATCTATGTCTATGAATGATAGGTCGGTACCCAAAAGAAAGTGATCGGTTTTGGTTTTCGTTCAAGGGCTTAATGAATCTTAGCCCAACAAGAAACATAGAATTACCGTCACTTTCGGTCAAAATAATCACACATGAAATGAGTAGTTTCGTAGTGAGCACAATGGGTGTGAATGGTTCAAATTCATTTGGTTTTTGCCAGAATCAAGAACCAAATCATTCTTAACGATTCCGAATTTATGAATACCAAATCATTCTTAACGATTCCGAATTTATGAATCATACCAAACTAGAAGTCGTCAAACCGACTCATTTAGTTTGATCCAACGGTTTAAAAAAATAAACTTGACTAAAAAACGACGACCCTGCAAAGATACAAGTTTTTGAAAACTAAGATTGGTGGATTATGGGGTTCGAAACAATATATGAACCGTAAATATTGTAACATGGTGAAACTCATAGAAGTATATTAATTACACACAACTTGGAAGTTCCAGATGGCCAAAAACCGTAAAAATACATTATAAAATTATTTAAAAATACATTTATTTATAAAATTATTTGAATTTTCGGGCCAGGCCGGGCCGGTCCATAGTCGGTCCCATAACCGGTCCCCGTCCCGGTCGGTCCCGGTCCCATGAAACTACCAAAAACCTCAACCGGTCTCGCTTTTCGGTCCCATAACCGGTCCTTACCGGTCCTGGTCCCGGGCCGGTCCTTTGTCGGTTATGGTCCCGGTCCTCCGGCGGTCCCGGGCCGGGCCGATTTGGCCATCTCTACTTGGAACTGATAAAAAGCTCATATGTTGTCTGTGTAGGTTTTTGTAACGTCCGCCCCATTTATATGAACTCACAATTTCACAAATCTCATTTTCGATCGACTTTGAACAATTTGTCATACAAATAGTTTATTTTCACAAAATAAATTTATTTCTTATTAAATATCACAGACATTATTATCAAATAAGTTACAATTATCACAAAAACGTACTTGTTTTCTATAACTCTTAGGGGCCGTTTACCAAACGCTTGTCCTGGTAAGTGTTTACCAAGTCACATTATTTTACCGGATGAATATGACAAGTACCAAGAATCTTACCCGGTAAGAGTGAAGGCAAGGACCGAGAGTCTTACCCGATAAGTGAGGGTGACAACTCTTACCATGGTTAGCACTTACCGGATAAATTATTGCATACGATACCGTTTTGGTAGACTAAAATCTTATCATGTATGTAAGTGCTAGTGTTGAATTTTACCAGTAAGCACTGTTGAACATCGGGTAAGCATTTGGTAAACGGCTCTTGATGTGTTAAAACTCAAATGATTTATGAACAAGAATCCGGATTCGTGTCTACATTTCTTTTTTTTTTATTGTTTTTTTATTTTTATTTGTTCTTAACTATTTTTCTTTGTCTTAATAAATTTATAAAAAACATATAAGTTAAAGTTCGGACAAAAAATATAAATTCATTATAATAAAAATATAATTAACTTTGTTTTATTGTTCGTTTCTTAAAAAAATTTATACTTTTTATTTATTATTTCTTTCATACGTTTAATTTTTGATTATTTCGTTTATGTTATTATGCTTAGATTAGTCTTCAACTACTTATATATTAAAATTAAAAATTAATTTAAAAATCATAAACTAATTATTTTCTTGTAGTTTAATAATATATATATATATATATATATTAAATTTATATTATAAGCTATAATTAAAGTTATTTATACTATTTATAAAGCATTTGATAAAAACTGTTAAAAACCATTTTTTATACACGGGGTATTGTTTATTGATGCATATGTAACTTCCCAAAATTTCCAATACTACAATATAACAGAATTAGTATCCCAAGATCAAACACTTACATTCCAGCGGAAATAAAATTTATAATCTTACAATTTATATCACTATCTAAACTTGCAATCTTGACGAACATACTTTGCTCGATATAACAATGACTTGATCTGCACATGTCATTCTTTGATGATAATCCTTATTTTTCTCTTTATCCAACTTTTCTTTTCAGTCTAATAACCGTCTGGGTGAAAAAGTTTTAAAAGAGTTTTGGGTGAGCCTTAGGCCCAGTGAATCCACGGTTTTCATGCATGAACAACAACTTTTAAAATAAACAATTTTCACGAAGCTTCATAAATTTAGCATGCCTTGATGAGAATAACACTTTTCACAATATAAATATATTATAGTGCGTGTCTACATCACAAAGCAACAACGTCATGGGAGATGTCTACCTCACACAGCATTACCTCGCAAACTCACACAGCATGTTCGCACTTACGGCTTAAACAAGCTCACAAAGCATGCTTGTCTTTACAAAATCATACCGTAGTACATCCCCATTGACACACAAATACACAAAACACATATTATAAAAATATCTCACTTTTCACACATATATAACGTATCAAAAATCTCGAGAAGCTTCAAACAACTTGTGGATAATAAAAAATAAGGCATGCAACCATTTTAAAAATAAATCACGTGTAACTTACCATACAGGTCATAACTGCAAACCGTTCCTCGAAGTTCCTCATGTTCTCCCAAAAAAATACATCAAACTTGTTGCACTTCACCAAATCATCCTCATCTTTCACCTCTCTTATACGAGTTTCATTCCCCGAGAATTTGTCATCTCTATGCTTGAGGACCTCCCCATATATATACTTAGTCATCAGCGGTTTCACAGAATATGAAACGATAAACCATAATTAATGGTCGTAGGTTTCATGACCATTGAGTTTACTGTCATTAAATTACAATTAATTTATATCTTTTTTTTGGTTATTACAGCATATTACTTAAAATTCAAGATTGCAAGTAATTTATGCGTAGGTACAACTTATTAAAGCTTCATGTTTGAATTCGTTGAACTAACTGCAGATAAACATAATCTTAGAGGATAAACATCTCATTTTAATTATAAAATAACAAAAATATAATTAGGATAATTATTGAGTTCTAACTAAATACTTAATTATTATCTTAAAAAAATATTTTATTAAATCAAAAATAAATTAATTCGTTTTTAAACTTCAATTAAAGTATAATAAAAAATTAAATTAAAAAAATTACACAAAAGGATTACTTTTAGATAGTTAATTCGATACTAATATCGCTTAATTTTTTTTTCCCAACATTTTATAATATCTTCAAATTTATATTTCATTCAAAAGTAAATTTTTTTTTTGTCAAAACCACATAAAATCGCATTATAACATCGATAGACCCAAAATATAAAACGAAAGATTAGAATCAAAATGTACATCGTTGAATTGTGCGGATACCCTTCTGGTATTTATAAATTAAATAATGAAATAAAAACCTTTATTTTTAGAGTTTTATTGCGATATTAATTTGTTGAGGTGGTAATGATGTGACATGAAAAACCGAAAAGTGAGGCTTTTGAGGGGTTATAATATATTTTTTTGTTATTTTTAAACGGATAACATCTGACATAGAATTTCGATGAAATTAATTTTTCTAAAGATGTTTACAAATTTCGTTTTCACCGGTTGTCAATCAACTTTTGTAGGTCTACTGGTTCTTTAAACAGAAACAAGATCAATTATGATCGTTTATTTCTAGTTTACGTAAGGTTTGGTATTGGAACATTGTATTAAAATGTAATACACTCTGTTTTTGTTCCTATTACATGTAACGATGTATCAAAATCATTATTTAATGTAACAGATTTAATAACCACTAAAATTCGTATTTTGAAACCAAATTTACTGATGAACTTATAAGATCATCCATCTATATAACGAACTTTAACACGTTTTAAAAAATAGTATTTTTAGAACGCCTGTTACATTAATTCTTGATCTTCATTCGGCGTTTTATATATATTAGAAGGGTACTCGAGCAATGCAGCGAGATACATCTTGATTTTAATATTTCATTTTATTTTTTATCTCAGTCGATGTTATAGTATGGTCTTATGTGATTATAAAAAAACGATGTTTTTATTTTTGAATAAAATATAAATTTGAAGATATCATAAAATTTTGACAAAAATATATCGATATTAGTATCAAATTAACTATTTAAAATTTCTATTTTTTGTGTAATTTTTTAATTCAATTTTTTTATTATAATTTAATT